CCTAACCTCTAACTTGCAACCTATAGACTATATAATATATTATGGAAATTTAATTTCATCGAACACTAAATCCATAACACAGTATGAATTTGTAATATCCTTATAACTCACCTTGACCAGGCTTTGAAACATGTTGGAAAGGTCAATTCCTCATTAGTATCAAGTGACAGCATGCATAACAGACACCTTGTAGGTTCCCATTCAATAGATTATAGATCAAAGCTTAATGTACAAGATTATTTGTAAGCTGTTTTAAAAACCAAGAGAAGCAGAAAATGTTACTTTTGCCTGAAGCTTAGGAGATATTTCATTAAACAACAGTTAAAGTTTTTCCCTCACACTTTCTGCTCTTTAAGCTTCTACAGTTTAGTCTTTTCTGTTACCATCACCATTAGGCAACCAATGTTAAGCACTTGCGAGAATGTATCCAGCAAGACACACAAGTCTATTCTTCTTAGCCGAGAATGCAGGCGAATAGCAAGCACTCAGAAATTTTTCTAACTTCTATGGATTTTTTAATAAGCCGGACATTTTATAATAGATTAAAAGAATTAATTAGCCAGAACAAATAATTTTTTTTACGTCCAATGACTGCACAACATTCTTGTCATAAATAATACGGCCTAGGTTAGTCGACGGTTAATGTAAGAGAAAACCAACTCGGCATTGATTGTTCATTTAAACCAATAAATAAATCCCAGATTTTTGCGGTGCTAGTATTTCGTGGCCGGATAAAATACGAAAACTTCACATTTTAGCTGCAGATTCGCACAGATGCATAGAACACAACTACAGACTAGGACGAAATATGAGAAAGATTTTTTACATGAAAATCCCTGAAGGAAAACACAGGCAACACTCAGTTGAAATGATTCACGTGTTTGATAGAATACAAATGACTGATTATCCCTGAATTGGGGATGATCCAGATTAAACAAGTCAACCACGGGTTGAATCTAATGACAATGGAGATCGAGGCCGAAAGCTCCAAGCATCGGGACGAGAAGTCCACATCGGCGAAAGTCTGGCAGAGTCCGGCGATGGATGGTCCGGCTGAAAGTCGGCAACGGCAAACATCCTGCAATGGTAGGGATGTCATATTCGGTTCACGGGTCTGGGTTTCGGGTTGAAGCCTGGAATTAAAACCCGGGTTCAAACGGGTCACACCTAACCCCGACTCGGTATTGTAACATGTCCAAAAAATGCGGACTCGACCCGCCCCCGTCGGGTTGTCAGTTACGTTGACCCCACCCGACACGGAACGCGCAGGCCGTCGCGTGGGCAGGGCAAGGGCACGCCAGGCGCGCGGGCGGAGTGCCAATGGCAAGCCCTCGAACACGAGCGGCCTCTCGGGCAGGATCGCGGTCGGGTTGCTAGGCAGCGCGCGGCGGTGTAGGCAGGCCAGACGCGGTCACGCGAGCGCTGTGCACTGGGTATGGCTCGGTTCGCACGGGCATACTTGAGCCAGTTCAGGCAGGCCGATTTAATGATGGTTAGCAGTGGTTGAACCCGGACCCGTGTGGTCAACCTGAACCGACCCGTCGATCCGTTTTGAAATCGGGTCGGATCAAACCCGAAATTTTCAGGTGGGTTCGAGTTGGGTTTTCGTGTCGTGATAAATATTGACACCCCTAGTCGATGGGAGGAAGTACAGCGACGGGCGGAAGTCTGGTGATGGATAAAATTTTGGCATTAGGCGGAAGTCCAACATAAGTCCGATGATGGGCTGTGGAATCATTTTGTCCAGCTGCTCGATTCGACTATAAGCATATCACATTTGAGAGTCATTTTGTTATCTAATTTATTTTTGAAACTTCTAAATGCACTTCAGATCTTTAATTTGGACCCATTTGGACTCATATTGGATTGAATTTGGTGTTGTTGGGTTAGTCTATTTCAGATGTTCAGTTTGACTATAAGTTTGCTGAAATTAGAGCTTAGATGGTCATGGAATTAATTTTGGAAGTTTTAAATTCATATTGCCTCGAGATTTGTGCTCGATCAAGATTATTTTTTATGATATATCAGTTGTCCCACCATTTTTAGATGTCGAAGCTTGCAGAGTCCGAAAATACGTGTCGGAGCATTTCAATTTGTTTGAGTCAGAAAATTATAATTTTTAGGTGATTACGAGTCACGATCGCTCTCTGGAAGTCAACGTGGACCTCCCCTTTGGATCGTTAACCAAGTAAAATTCTCTTAATTATAAACTTAATTAGCCATGAAGTTGGCATAGGGCATAAATTATTGAAAATTTGTGTTCCAAGACTTTTACAGCAGGCGGAATCTATCCGCCTCTCATGGCTTAGCCCGCCCACATGGAGGACCCCACCAGTCCACTTGATTTCAAATTGAAAAGGAGGGGGCAGTTTGAACTTGGGAGGGAAATTAGATTAGGAAAGTTTTTGTATAAAAGAGCATGAGAAGTATAGAGAGGGATTATGTTTAGATTGATTGGAATTAGGGTTTCTTGACGACTTGGGCTCTAAACTATATTGTCTAGAGATTTGGGAGAGACGATCCTCCTCTCGAATTGAGTATCTCTTATAACTTGTTTTATTCTTGTGTCGCTTTGCTTTCTATAAGATTATCTATCGTTTGATTGCTCTTCTGCCATATTTTCTTTGATTTTTCTCGTTGTTTTACCGATTATTGTTAGGTTTGCTTGCGAACTCAAGTATTTCCCATTAGGATTACTTGCAAACTCAAGTATTTCCTATCATAATGCAGCGTTATACTATATAGTTCAGGAGACATGCCTTCTCACTTCACATTTCATTGCAAGAAAGGGCAATCCATATGAAATTTATTGCATGACTTCATGTAGATATCTACATGTGATTGAAAATATTTCAACATGCAGAAAATAGAAACTTTTCTCAATGATTATTATTGCAAAGTCTAGTTAAAAAGGGATAGCCATAAAGGAGAACAAAAAAGCAAACCATAGGAACAAAAAATTCTCTCATAGCTATAGCCACAAAGAAAAAAAAAATCATAAGGAAATATAAGGCCTACAAAAAATACCTGATAGCAGTCACTCCTAACATTGAGGACATTTAGAAGTAGATTGTGTGAATCTACAACCAAAAAAGCGGTCGCACAAGGACAAGCAAATTCTAATTTCCATCAAAGGGGGTGAAGTCATAGGGTTAGAAGCAAGTCAATCAAAGCATAGTACTAAATACTAATGACTTTCACCGACAATATGTTCAAGAATAATATCCATAAGCTGAGATCAAGATTTAAAGACCGTTATTTAGTTCTTTTTCTCTCTGGTTGCAAAGGGTTGGGCATGCCAATCACAAGACAATTGCATCATTTCATTTAAAGCTAGATTCAATATGAAGTTTGCTATCGTCACTAAATCTGTCGGAGTACCGAATCATAATTCCTTATATTTTAACTAATGAAGTGTTTTGAGTGAGTGTCTTACTAGATGTTCGTCATACTTCCATTAAAGAAATCCTCATTTTATGTGGATTCAAGCTGTATACTTCTGAAGAAAAAACATTTATATCGCTTAAGGATAGAAATAACAGCTTGCATAATCGAAATCATTATTTTTGCGCTAAGAGTTTTCTGAAGCATCAGCTATATATCAATGAGCGATAATATTAAGCCTTTTTTGCTACCAAGTTCATACACCGCCAACAACCCACGGAGCGCCACAAATAAATCCAGAAAATTGCTAAGAAAAAAAGAACATGCCCAATAAACAGAAATTTAGGATGACAGTAAATCTACCCCTCATGCCAGGAGCAGGCAAAACCTCAAAAAGAAGAGATAGGATCAAAGAGGTCCTAATTACTCTTAGGAATTTCTTGTCCTTCCATAGATTTTTCTCAAACGTTCTAAGAGGATTTCTATTAAGATGCGAAATCCGACTCAAACAAAATAATCAGGTCTACCAAGTCATTAGGTTCCAAAATAAAATGTAAGTTATTAATGAGGCTTATAAAGTAAAGTTATTAAAAATATGCAACTAACATATCACAAGATTATGATCAGCCAGTCAAGAAGCGATGCAATTGGGCAATTGAATTTGTTTGAATCAGTTGTAATCATTTAAATTCATCCAAGTTTTCATGAAATTAAGAGTTATTTGCTTTTATGAATAGTTAGTTCCATTTTATCTTTTGTTTTGAATTTGAATTCCTATTTGTTAGATAGGTTGAAATTAGGTGAACAACTACATTTCTTGTTCCAAATAAGAGTGGGTTTGAATATGAAGAAACAATTGAATCATGAAGTCTTTTCTATTTGTATTAATAATGTTTGTCTCTCATTTCAAAAATTGTACCACAGTCTAATATTTTGTTTTCCAGTTGCAACAATCTTGTAGTTTCTATCCAAACATGAAAATTACTAGAATTGAAACAATTCGAATTCGATCATCAATTAAAGAATTTTTCAACAAAAATCATCCTTATCTTTCCGCCCTTTTCCTACTCCTCTCCTTCTTCATCTCTCAGTTTACCGCCTTGCAACATTCGGTCTCACACTCTTCTACTCTCCACTTTAATCTCCTCATTAGCAACAACGTACGCAAATCTCCCTGTATCTCCAATATTCTGGTAAACCCACTCCTCCACAACAGCCTGGGGCTTCACCATTCCATTAGAAGGAAATGATTCCATAGGGTGTTGTTCTTCGCTCTATTTGGGCTGAAGTCAGTTTCTTACTCACTATTCAAAAGAAAAATCAAAGCATCTAACAAAGTGACAAGTAGACTAGTTCCAAGAAAAGAAATATAGCAATGGAAGGAGTATGCTACAAAACATTAGCTTTAATTTGGCAATGTTAATTCCATTTTATCAAGTAATCTAATCAATTTACTCGTTACAAGTTTTGCAACGACCTAAATACATGTAAACCCTAAGTTGATTCGATGTGAGCCCTCCTACGCAAACCCACAGCCACATTACAAGATGTGCCAAGAAATTGTGGGATAGCATTGTGAGATTTGAATTTTTGCCTTGGGTGGTCATGAGAATCATAACACCTCTCAGCCCTATATATAGGTTAAACTACATAAGCCGAGCGAATAATTTTCATTTCGGAAAAAAAAATACATATCTCATTATTCTCAAGAAAGAAAGAGGAAGGAACATACACGAAATGCCTTTTGCACGGATCTATCTTATGGAAGACGACCCTTCTTAAGAATTGAAAGGGAGTACTCGGCGGTATCGATAAGGTCAGCAATGTTGTGAAGGGATCGCTCCTCAGATCCAAATATGAAGATGGTGCGGACCTCAGCTTTCTTTGGAGGCGAGCGGCATAAGTAAGCGGGCGATCAGAGAAATTGAGGGACTTCAAAATTTGACGATATAAATAGAGCACCCTTTCCTCTGTCCTCACCAAGTCCTCAGCAAGTTGCCCAAATCAAACCATTGGCCATTCCTTTTGTAAATCAAAATACAAAAAGATTAATCAGAAGGTGCAACCTAACTCTTGGAAGTAAGATAATGGGACTGAGAGAGAAAGTGGAAGCAAGAGAGTGGCAAATAGATGCTTGGAGCTTCGCCGACAAGGGTTGTGAGCAATGGCGATAAAAAGAAAATTCAAGAAATAATTTCAGCATACAGTTTTCATAGAAAATAAATTTCAGTACACCGATATCTCTAGCCTCATAAACAATTTAATTCAATTACCATAGGTCACTCCGGGACGATTATGAAAAAGGTTGCTTGCTATCCCCAAAAGCTTAATTATTAAAATTGGAACCAATTGTTAAATGTTTTACCCATAAATAACAGCGGGAAATCCATTTTGCATAACGAGAACAGTTAACTAACGGATGCAAATTTTGTTTAATTATATAAAGCCTCAACTGATAAATTCCAACAGGTTATATATAGATAAATGAAAATGAAAATTGTCATCAAACATCAAGGAAATATATTTTCACAACCATTTGTAAGATTTATTTTCTAATCTCAAAGATGATGTGAGTTGTTTCATTTCTTTTGGTCAAACTCACTATAAAGAACACTTCCCAAATCATTGAAAAAGAAAACAGAATACGGGCATTTTCATCTTTTATTATTACTGAGACTTTTCAAATGAATATGGATTGATTTATAGCAGAATATAAATTGTCAATTTGTCTAACAAAACTAAACACAATATTTTGAATTTACAAAATCCATGGAGAAACGTTTACTTGCTTCCTCAACATTGGATATGCTCACATGAATTTTATCTTATTTTAGATGAAGAAATATGGGGGGAAGAAGGAGTTAGATGAAGAAAGAGATGAGGAGAAAGAAAGAAGAGGAGATTACCAAAGATTGAGAAGATTGCCGGCGTCGACCTGGGCAGAAGAGGCAACCTAGGGCAAGAATCGGCCGGGGTCTTTGGCTTGGGCTCGCGAACGGCAGAGACCGACCTAGGGCTCACGAACGGCTGGGAGGAGGAGATGGGGTTCGGCCCTTGGAGTTCTTTGCGAACAGAGAGATGGCGAGAGAGAGGGGTTCGTGCGAGTGAGAGGCGTTCGGGTCTTGCAAAAATCGAGAGTGTGGGGCTTCTTGCGAGCAGAGGAGGAGACGGAGAGGAGGCTTGTTTCGCCTGGAATTTCTCACGCCAACGGGGGAAAGAGTGATGAGAGAAGGCTTGGGGATTTCCGAACAGCAGATATGCTCCCCGTTTTTTCCGAATGATAGTACCTAATTTTTATTAGGTACGGTATACTAGCACATTCAGACTTTAGTAAAATGTTGTCACGTGTTCTTACTCTTTACTGTGCGGTCCAACGACCTAACCCAGATTAGACCCGGGATTTCTATGTATTGACTGATTTGTGCAGACTGGGGTATTGCTAGGTATTGCTCGATATTGCTCGGCAATAACGAGAAATATCATTATGTGAAGGTCAATACCAAGAAATATCGAGCGATACCGAGCAATACCGAGCGATACCCCAGTTTTGCTAGGTATTGCTCGGTATTGGTCTTCACAAAGCAGTATTTCTCGTTATTGTCAAGCAATACCGCGCAATACCGAGTAATACTTAGCAATACGTGAACATAGCAACCCCGGGTTTCGGTCCAGGTCAGATCGTCGGGCCGCGCGGTAAAAAGTAAGAGCACAAGGCAACATGTTATTAGCGTCCGAACTTAGAGCCACGTCAGGACACCGGACCTAATAAAAATTCATAATAGGGAGAGATGGTGCATGCGAGAGCCACGGGTTGGGATTCAAACCGGGCCTCTCCCTACTTGATTGTGTGGGGAGATGGTCAAACCCGGCTCAAGTCTAGCCAAACATCATTTGCATGCCCAAATCAGCCCTAATCCCCCTCTAAGCCTTAGGGGATTAATGATTTTTATTGAAATTTATATATTAAACTAGGTGAATTTAATTAAAACTTTAATTTGGATGGTTTGAAATAAGTAAATAAACAAAATGACTAATTTGATTCATATGGATTTAGTTTTCTTTAACATGCAATGAATCAAATTGGAATAATTAGGGCCATCTAAATTAAAATGAACTAGAATCTAGTGGGTTGGGCTCGATGTAGAATTAATTTGGTTTCAATCAACCTGAGATGGGTCGAATTAGAAAGTGAGTCGATGCTAATTCAATGGGTATCCACCTAAAAGAAATATTGGAGGCAATGTCTACACTAGGCTGTGAAGAAGTAGACACTACATATTAATTTGGGAAAATCGACCTCAATAATGAGGTCAACAGGAAGCATACCACGTCCAAAGTGAGAGATCGGAAGCGTGCGACCATTTCCGATAGCAACATTATTTGTGCCGCGGTATTCTTCTACATTGCTGAGTGTTGAAATTTAATAAAATTATTGTTGCGTGCTATAATATATGCGGCAGTGGAGTTAGGAAATATTCGTCTCAGCGTTGCACGAGTATTCCGCACACAAACAGAAAA